TCCTCGCAGGCGTGCATGCAAATTGGAGCGCGGGTGCACGGACTTCACATTCATGATTGGGAAGCAAGTAAAGCTCCGCTGAGCATCATCACTTCAAGCTGAGCTTCGACTCACACACCCCACCCAGCACCTACGTCGACCCAGCGCTAACACAGCACACTACATGCTCTCACTGGCACTACTTATGGAGCTTGATGCTTCTACAGCAAAGCCGACCGTCTTAGCCGCATGCGCACTTCATCTCGCATGCCTCGCGACTAAAGGCAAGGACTAGCATCTGCCAGGGATCAAACGAGGTGCTGCGACTGCGTGCACTGCGACAACGCAATCATGGCGACCGCCAAGATCGCAACAGTGAGTCGTAGCATGCCTTGCGGGCGCTCACAAGATGTCCCACATCTGCCAACACCCCACTCACCTGGCTGACCTCTAGCCACTCGTCTTGCTTGCGCTCTGCCTCGCAGCTACTGATCCGGACCATCGCCAAGCCGATCGCTACGCAGCTCAAATCGCAAGCAGCTCAGCACGACACCTTCAAAAAGATATGCGTCAATTTAGCGCAGGGCATGCATCGTAGCGAGATGGCTCTGCGCTCCAATCTGATGGGAGGCACAGCGGCGCATACCAAAGTCAGACCTCTGAATGAGAAAAAGGCAATCGAGAATGGCGCAACTGCTATTTCGGAGGGCTTCCTCTTCGCGATCGCTGCGGCGCTCATCATTGGAGAGAGCTATAGGAGTAGCAGCAGCAACAGGAAACAGAGGGATAGGACAGAAACGGCGGTGGAAGAGATTAGGGATGCTATCGAGATGCTGGGCAGCAGATTGGGAGTGGAGAAGGAGAGCCTGTGGAGGAATGGACGGCCGCTCGAGGACGTTGAAGTTGATGCTGCTGAAGAGGCGCCATCCACTTCATCCTCGTTAGTACAGCCACAAATTGACGAAGCTACTCCCAACGCAAGCACCACCACAGGATCAGTCAAAGCACCCGCCACACTCTTCGCCAGCGCCGCACACATTTCTGAATTAGAGTCCGACAGGGAACGCTTGCAGCACGCAGTCGCAGTCTTGCTCCGCTTAGCGCTCAAGTCAGGCTGGATCGAGGGTCCAGAGGCACTGCGTCTCGACCGGATCTTGCAGAAGGGGAATAGCGCCCACGTGGCCGGTTCCGCGCAGCGCACCTCAAAGGATGCCACTTCCGAGGATCCCACTCCTTCAAGCCAACGTCCTTCCCTAGCCTCGCTCGACCTGCACTCTTCAACATCTGCTGCTGCTACATCTGCATCAGGCGCTCATCTCGCTGCTCCTGAGGAGACGTCGCGATCTGACATTATCTCTGAAGTAGCCAAGGCTCGCGCGGCAGAGATAGCGAGGGAGGTGAGATATGGAGCATCCGATGGCAACAGCTCTTCGCTCGCCGAGTTGCTAGAGAAAGCAGGGCTCAGTGAGACCACCGCTTCCGAGACAAAACAATGACCCCAGCAAATTCTGCATCCATCATCAGCACGCGCTAGTCACCACTCTGTTTGGACAATGCATCGAGTCACACCTGAATCCGTGTAGTGATGCACATGAACGAGCTGTGATTGTCGAGCTGGGATGAATCCCTTGCTGATAGATTCGTATCAGGCCCTGACCGCCTTGCGACCGTTTGAAGTGGCGCGAGAAGATCCGTTAGGGTTCCACTGCGCGTGATCACGGAATGATCAGTGTGTGTGCGGGACAGTCGAACTCTTATTGCCTCATGACCACTTACCCATCCCAAAGTGTAGCCGATGATGAAGGTCAGGACCCAGCAATTGAATCCAATGATCAGCTTGACAATTTGAATGAGAGGGGACAGACCTGGGAAGATGAGTCCTGGCAAGACTTGAGGCTCGTAGTAGTCTTCCTGCCTCTTGATGTAGAAGCGACCATCAGCTCCGCGCTGCAAGAACAGAACGACAATGAGGCTGTAGCGAGAACGATTGGGGTGTATGCGTCAAGAAACCTTGGGGCACATGCGAGTGCGCCAAAGCTAGCTTGCAACTTACCGGCACGCGGGAGCGCGAATGGCTGCGAGCAAGCTGATTGAAGGCACAAGAGTCTGCGTCGCGTCGATGTAGCTGCGTTGCGCATAGGAAAATGTCAGCCCCACGTAGCACTGCAGCTCTTGCCTGACAGGCCGTGCTCACAGTTTGTTGTTGTCCTTGTCAAGAGCTGTGAATAAAAGCCACATATGAGCGAATCCGCAGCGCGCAATGGTACCAGAACTCAAGGATGTGGAGCGCCGGAGAACTCACCCACGCTGTGCACATCGATGTGAGGAGTGAACATGCATCGCAGCCACTGGTAGATTGGCAGTACTCCTCCATCTCGAGACTGCGAAAAGGATGGTACATGCGGCGTGATGCTATTCAGCAACGCATCAACTGAGGGCGCTTCTCGAGCTCGCGATGATAGACCGGCCGCCCATTCATCATGCTAACCCGCCACATTTAGTCTCCCCTGCAGCCGCACCCTCCCTCAGCACAGCCATTTCACTCACGTTGGGGCTGGATGCAACAGCGCAAAGTGGGTGGTCGAAAGAAGCGTCTGGGGCAAAGTAGGTCTTGAGAACCTTGGACTGAGCAGCAGCCGTAGGTGCCTCGATGAGGCCCTTGACCACGTTCTTGACCTCGCGCGCTGGATCCTGCATCTTTGGCGTTGTTGTTTCGTCGAGGTGTTCGTTTATTTGGTCGAGGCTTGAGCAGTGCGTCGGCGTGAACGTCGAGAATTGAGAAGCGAATGGTGGTGGTGTCTTTGATCAATATTTGAGCCTCGCTGCGAAGGCCCGGGGAAATGTCACACCACCACTACTCTGACTGCGATCGACCGCACCTCGATCGTCGCGAGGCGTGAGCACGAGCCAACCTCCACTTCCGTCTCTGAAGTTCACGTCCAACTTTGCCGGCTCAAACCGCACGCATGGCGATTTCTATGTGGCTGACCTTGGTGCGCGGACAAGCAAGCATGCATGCACATGAGTGCGGGTGGACGCGCGTGTAAGCGCAGTAGGAGATCTCAAGGCACGAGTCAGCCTCCCCATCCCGGCAGCTAGGTTGGACGTAACAGTAGGTACTGCTCAAATTATGGGCACAATGTGCTCGGGTAGGTCAATGCACGTGGAATTGGGTCTCTACACGTACTCAATCTCAACCCTTGAGCGTAGCGCTTGCGCTCTTGCCTGATGACCCTCGCGATTGGCTTGACGCATCCCGTTTGGCTTGCCTTTTTGCCCTGAAAGCCATCCAAGACTTAAAGAACGTCCGCTGCTCACCTGCGGCCGACAGAGAAGGCTTCCCATAGCGTGCTGCACCATTGAAGGATCGAGTGATGCGGAAATGTCGTTGGCTGTGGTCAGACAGGTATTATACAATTGCGACTTGGGTTCTATCTAACAATTGCTGGCTACCTCTCCCTCGGGCAATGACTGTGGGTCTCAGATCTCTGCGCTACTCTTGCATTGCATCGTCCACCTCCATCTCATGCATCGCTTCTGCTGCTTGCCTCGTCGCGTCTTCGCTCTCCTTCGCCGCCTTGTCCGCATCCCTCTTCAGAGCGTTGGCTAAAGCTTTCTGTTCGAGAGTCTCACGCTCCTTGCTCTCCCAAGCTTGGGCTAGCTCTTCGATTTTGTCCCGCCAGTGCTGCCTTCTGCCGAGCTCAATCTCCTCCTTCTGCCACTCCTCATGATCTCGCTGTCTGGAAGGAATGACATCTTGACAGAATTTGTCAGGATCGCTGAAGAAACGTTCGAAGTAATGCAGCACGAAAAGTCCGCAGTCGCAGTAATTCGGCTGCTTAGGCCCTGAAACGTCCTGTTGACAGTGGGAACGACGTCCGTGGCCATGTTCGATCAGTGGCCCTGACCCGTAGGCACAGCCGGCATAAGATCAAGCGTCGCAACTTACAATGTGGTGTACAGCCAGCTTCTGATCAAAGCTTGCATCATCGAGAGGCACGGTTCTCTTAGCCTCCTCTTGCCACTTTCCCGTCTGCTCAAGCCAAGTGTACTTCATGTAGTTCGTCAAATCCTTCGTCACCTTCGTGTGCTTGCCCGCGAGAGAGTCGAAGACGAGCACGGTTGCGCCTTCCTGAAAAAATCGCTTGTAGCGTTCGGTAATGTCTGTCCGCTGTGCCAAGCGCGTCGCGGTTGCTGCAGCAGTGGAAGTCCGTGATTTCTGGTCGTGGAATGTAGTTGCAGTCGAGGTACGCGCTTTGCTACCGTACGTGTTCGCTGGAGACATCTTTGCCGAAACACCCAAATCGTTGACCGGAGATGCTCGACTTGTTGGAGCAAAAGCTAAGTCTGGCGGCTGTGACGACATCGTGGTCCGATGCTCAGGCGATTGAGATGCCGAAGCTTGTGTCCTCTCTTCATGCGCTACAAATCTAGGGTCTAGCAAGAGAGCCGAGTCGCGACCGTACCGGGGCGCGTCCTCCTCATCTGAAAAGGTAGGCGGGCGAATGGGATACTTACCTCGACTGACTTTACGCGGTCCAGATTGGTGTTTCTCTACAGGCGAAGCAGATGGCTGCTCTTCTACGGAGCCGCCACCAAGGAGCGTGCCTCTCTCACTTGGGGATACCAATGCATCCACGTCGTCGTTCGCCCAACGTTGGTGACTCGACCCGTTTTGTTGGGAGAATTCTACCATCGCTTCGGCGTTGAACGGTATGATGGAAGAGGGGTTGATCGGAGAATGAGCGTCCCCAGCTCCATTCATAATTCTCTCAGGCGAGACAAAACCGTCAGGAGTGTTGTATACGGTGCTGGGACCTGGGCTGCGGACATCGTTCACGGGAATGTATCGGGCACTCTGGCTTGTGAGCTTGATTCCCAAAGCATCGTGACCTGGTGTACGGGGCGGCGTCGCTCTGTCTGAGTCGTCGAGCCGACGTTTCTTTCTAGGCGTCTCCGGTGGTGGCGCAGATTGGCGAAGATTGTCAGCCGGCGTGCCAGGCGGTGAGCAAACAACCGGCTCTGAACGCAGTCTTGCGCGCTTAGCAGCGTCCGGCGCTTCGTCTTCTCCCGCGTCGCAGTCAACAGGAGGCGTCGACAGCGTACAGGTTCGTGTGTCAAATTCGTCATCTTGTAGCTCGCTGGCAGGCATTGCAGCGTCGTCCGCCCGGAGTTTACTGCTTCGCCGGGTAATCACGGGTTCTCGCTCTGGATCCGATGGTCTTTCATGCATCGCAGCTATTCGACCTTCATCGACAGCGTACGAAGGATTGACAACAATGGCGAGGTACCAATGCAAAGACTCGTTGATGGGAAGGACCAAATACTTCTTGGTGAAGATGCTTACTTTGGCCCACTTTCGCACTAGCTCGTAGGCTCTGGAGTAGTCGCGCGGCGCTGTCGAGGTCAGCCGTTTGTAGAAGAAGGAGGAGAAGATATGGATGGAATCTGCAAGCTCGCTGTCTCGCTTTCG